AACTCTTTGTTTTACTTCTTGTTTGTATCCCCCCCCCCCCGTTCCAGGTCTTTCTTTCTCTTCTCTGGCCACTACACTTCCTCTCTTCTTCAATCTTCTCATCCTCTCTAGCACTTTACTTCCCTTTGTCTTCTTTTACTCTTTCTCTTTTTCCTCAACCATCTGTCCCCTTCCATATTATGCAACGTTGTTTATTATATACGGTATTTCACAGCATGAAAGTGCATTTGGCAGCTTTGTTTTTTTCACTCTGAATTTAGTTTCTATTTGTCTCTATTAGAGATAAGCCCTTATAGTCACTCTGTACTGTTAAAATGTTTGTCTTGTGTCTTTCTGGATTATTTTCATTGTAGGATTAAGAACAGGTTCGAACATGAACAACTAACACACGCACATACTTTCAGTATAATATGTGAGATCAACAGGGAGTTATTGTGAGATACATTTCCATCTGTAAACAAACTCTCAAAATTATAATCATCTTGCATAAAACAGTCCCAGTAGAGGGTGCAGGAAGCTGTGTTTACAGAAGGAACAGAGCACAGCAGGCATCATGTGAGGTACTTTGCCCCAGAGAGCCAACAAGCTGTTTATAATGTAATTTGCTCAACATGTTGCCAGCCACAGGAATTTCAACTGTAAACCCCAGCAGCAAAGCCTCTCAGAGAGTGGAATGAACAGAAATGTCACAGGAAAATATGAAATCAAAAGATATATATATCACAAGCTACAGTAAGAAAATACATGGGATTGTTTTGCGATAAAAGATCAGTGTTTCAACATTGTTTTATGAAGTTCCCATCAGCCACATGGTCATCTCAGTTTAGCTTGTTGCTTTGCTTGTTGACCAACTACAGACTACAGTCTTCAGCCCCCCCTCTGTTCCTCACCGAGTGACAGAGTTAGACCCTCATTCTGGGGTGGCTATTAACAGGGAGCATCCTGGAGAGCGCTTAGCACATATCACCAGAATACCAGTCATTAAACTTCAACGCCCCCTGTGACATCAAGAACACCCACGGGTGATATTTCCGTTGACTGTGTCTGGAGCATGGGGGTGGCGGGTGGGGCCATGGGGGCAGTCAACATGAGGCAGGGCAGTGACTTCAAACTGCAGTCTGGATCACAGCAAAGGTGGAAAATGTATAACTACATGAATTCCTTTCACTTGACATCTTTGTATTTTCGCCTTCATTGTAATTCTGCATCAAATGTGACTTTTGACTGTTAGATAGAGCACGACAAGAGTTTTCCATTAATATATTATTAAGGTTTTAAGGCTATTTGACTGCTTTTGCCTCAAACAGTTTGATTTATTAAGTTTAATACTGACTTAATATGCTATGCTATCAAACCTCAATCAATCAATCAACCAAACTTTACACACACATTATATATAATATAATATATATTATATAACTCTATATAAATTAAAATTGACTTTTGTTCCAAACCCTTAATGTGTTTCTTTTGTGGTGCTATCATAACGAGAAGCATAGAAAAAAAGAAGTGATGTCTGGAAGATGTCTTGTTTGCCTCGCTCCTTGACACTCCCCTTAACTCTACTTCCTAGCTCATAGTAATTATGTGCTCCGCTGGCAAAGCTGCACATTAAATTTAGCAAATATCCTGATGGTTAAAGGCAAAGAAACTCCCCCTCTCTGCAAGAAGAGAGGACACCGAAATAATAACTAACTGTTTGCTTTGATCAAGCCTAATCAAGGATTTTAGAATAGCAATCTGGTTTTTGAATAAGCCCTTAGGTCTTAATGAATGCGATGCTAAGAGGAAGTGAATGGGTGACAGAAGAAACGCTTGCTGGCTTTGTAAATACATTCTATTCTACTCTACTATCTGTTTAAGTATCAGCATGACACACATTTTTTATTTATTATTGTATTTGTTTGCACCAGCAGCAATATTCATCTCCAAGAAGTATTTCAAAAATATAAAGATACAGATATAAATACAGCCTAAACATTATGAGCTACATGCACCTGCTGACTGTCTGGTTCACCTGCCGTCATCTGCATTATGTATTTTCTTCAGGTGAGACTTAAGGGATTCACTCTAAATACACAACCCGCGGCTTTTCATTAACACTTCCCAACCTTTCTGCTGACATTAATGAGGTAGAGGTGAAGGAGACAACTGTCACCCTGTGTTGTGCTGTACCGAATGTGTATGTGTGTGTGTGTTTCTGCTGCTGACATGGTGTATGGTATACGGCTCAGGCTGTTGCCATGGTGAACATCAGAGAACAGGAAGCCCAGGGGATAAGAGGGCCTGATCAGACTTGTAAGCATTTTGTGGGAGCTAAGGAGACCATTGTGTGTGCGATGTGTGAGTTATCTTAATTGGATCAAAGGAAAACCAATTCCTCCTCCCTCTTATACTTTGTAATTCTTTCTTTAAAGACAATCGCTGTGACATCTTCAGTTAAAAACGAACGACATGTCTCAAAGACTTTTATTCTGATTTGTACTATTTGATGATTGGATGTCGTTGCGTGGCAATTCCAATTTTAATTCTCTTAGTTTTCCCCAAATCACTGATAATAAGGCTACTAGTGCAGTTTAGGATTACCCATCTCAGTTACTGAAGCACAAACTGCCTTTAGTTCATTTACTGATTGGTAAACCGATTGGCTCTCCTTCCCCTTTTTTGTCACACAAGCACAACAAAAATCCTTTTAAAAAATACAACTTTATCAGAGGCCTCTTCTTCAATATATAGCTACAGGCCAGTTACTCCTTAAATGTGGGGTAGAAAAGAAAGAAAAATTGGTGGAACTGCTAATGATTCATTGTCATCTAAAACTAGACACTGCTTTTCTGTTAGGGGCCACAGCCACAAAGGTTGGGAATCAGTGGTTTATTATTTGACAATACATTGTATTGTGTAAGCTTATCATGTGTTTTTGGGACATTTTAATAATGTCAATACAGCTGTCAAATAAATTTAGTACAGTAAAAAGTACTTGATAAAAATGTACTTATTTACTTTTCATCCCAGTAAATAACATAATGCACTATTACGTACACACACAAACAACAATTTTTCACGGTGAGAAAATGGCTGATGCGCAACAAGGAAAACATGCATGGACATATTTCTCTCCAGCACAACACTTACTGAGGATGATGATGGCAGAGGAAACCCTCCTGAGTACACCAGGTGATATCTCTGGAGTCCGCATGATGAGAAACTTACTCAGTACAGTGTGCTTTCTATGTAAAAACGTAACTTCTTTCAGAAAGAAATAGCGTAAGAAACGTGGTTAAGTAAGTAAGGAAGTGTTTCCCGTGAACAGAGACACTTTTGCCTTGCATGACGAGGCCCATGATCCCACATCCAAATGCACCCAAAAAAAGGAGGGCTGCCATATGAGCACGGTGAGGCACGACCTTAAGGCTCCATATGGGATATTTTAGCCACCAATAGAAGAGTCACAAGGATGGGATGGGATGTCACCGCAGTTAAACACTCACAGATATTCTCGCTCAATATCTTATGCACGCACGCACGCACGCATGCGCACAGACACACAGACACACACAGAGATACCACTTATAAGTAGCTCGTAACCAGAGCTGGTCAGAAGCTATTTAGTAAACCAAGAGTAGGCGTGAGTTTAGCTTTAAATACAGTATGGGGTTCAACCTGAATTTGTTTACTATCCATGTTTAAAGACTCTAAAAAATAAATCTGCCAGTTTAACTTCATGTCTCTAATCATGCTGCTTTCCTGCTGTACGGAGAGTGTTTTACTTTGAAAAGCACTGAAAAGTGAAAAATGACAATGAAAAAAAAAAAATCTTTAAATGAGGACAAATTTCACTCAGCAATCAACCAGATATTGTTGTCATTGTTTGGTTCAGTGTGCAGAGTGTAGCTGCAGTACATGTTATTAACCAGCAGAGGGTAGTACAGCTTAGTCAAGTAGTTACACTTTGAAATCAACAGTTCAGATTATTGTGTCACATATCAATCATCATCAACGTGCTTATGCTATCTGTATACAATGTGCATCCTGGTCTGATGAGAACGCGTCCATTAACAAATGTCTAAGTAGTAAAAACAAACAGAAAACTTTCAAAACTATGTGGATTATTTGACTGCGGTTACCTGACATTCTTTTCAGAGCAAAAACAGACTTAAACTGATCACAGATGACAGTTAAAGGCAGTCGGAGGTAATTTGAACCAAAATCCATTTGAGGTTCCATTAGTAGGTTTCCAACAATAGTTTAAGATTCTCTCTTAGCAAATCTCTTTTTTTCTCTGTTGAGACAAGCCCTTTCATTTGACTCACACATTCAGAAAATGTCTCAAAAAATCCTCACAGCCCGCCAGGAAATACAAAGCTGGGCCTCAGCACTTCATGAAGGATGTCCAAAATAAAATAAGTAATAGAGTGGACTGTATAGTTTACCAAAATATTAATTTATACCATATATGATGAATTCTTACCTGCACTGTCAGGTGAGCTGAGGACATTGAGGGCAAACAGCATGGCGTTAGAGAAGGTGGTGGCCTCCTCCTTACTGGCAAAGTTCAGCCCATAGACCTGGCGGGCGTCACGCCACTGATGGAAGGTCGGGGTGGCCTGATTGTATTTCAGACCCTTCACTATGGAGTAGTTGATCACCACCTTCAATAAGGGAAATAAAATGAGGCTGTGAAAGGCATGTTGGTTAAGTATAGACAACTTACTGATTATGAGGTATTTCACTCAGTGTACTTGTGCTGTGTACTGTGGTTGAGGGAAAAGAGATTCTTACTCATATTCTCCATTTCACCAGCTGTTTAGAGATTTAACACTAGTGTCTCTCTGCTCCACTCTATGATTTTCTAACCTCTATGGTACCCGTGCTCCCAGGGAGATTTATCCAATAAGGATAGGATTCAACACTACAATACATATAAATACTGTTAAAACAGGCTCCATATTTAGTCACTTAGTATATTTTCCTGTAATTATACTGATGAATGCAGGCTTTGTCAGTCAATTAGTATAAAGCTCTGGAGTCAAGACGACTCAGTCAAAGAGCTAGGCGTTTAACAGAGGTTCTCTACCTGGTGGGGCACAGAGACACTGCAGAGGGTATTGGATGACAAGTGGAAAATATGAAATGAAAATAAGTTGAAGGAATGTAGGAAAAATAAACAAAGCAGAGTTTGGTGATGCTATTGTGCTGATCTTTATTTCACTAAAATTCAACTTGAATCCTTTCTTATTAGCTGCTTCTCCTATTATTGGTAATGATTCATAAAAATCGTGGGGTGGTGGGCTGGGAACTTTTTTCGGCTTCTGAAGGGTGGCACGGCAGAAAAAGTTTGAGAACTACAAGATCATCATGTTGCATATTCAACAATCATATTAGAGTTAAGTCCATCACAAAAGAGGAAGAGACACAGGAAACAACAAAAATGGACGCCTCACATCAGCCAAACACTATTGTTCAATTTAATTAAACCCAAATTTAATGGATATGGAGCAATACTGTCAATGCACAGTATTTGAATCCTCACACAACCAACTCTGAAATCATATCGTCTTGATCACGCGTCTGCTCGCAAGTCATTAACATAGAAATCTTTATCATTCATCCCATGACGGTTTGAGAGAAAGAGCTACAAACAGTACGTTAAATGGATCAGTCCTGAACGTCACTGAGCTTTGTGTCTATGTTCATTCGCAGCTCCAGAAATCAGTGCATCAGAAATTTCCTCTCATCACCGGGAGTGGGATGCTGATGATTTTCTTTCGTCTCTCACCTGCTGGTCCTGCAGTTTGACGCCCACCACTCTGAAGGTGTTGTTGGCAGTGTTGTGGTAGATATTGATGCGGCTGAAGCCCTGCTGCCCAGGCTTGATGGGCACCCACTTCTTACTGGCATCGTCGTATACCATCACCGAGGCCCGAGCCTGGCAGATACTCTGTTCACTGGAGAGGGAAGAGAGAGAGATAGAGGACATTAAGAAGATTCCATTTGAATATTGAAATCATTCTGTCTGACTGTGGTGAGAGATCCGGTTAATTTATTTTCTCATAGAGGGTTTCTTTTGTTCTTGTCAGTACAGGAAAGTCTGTTTCTGTTGGAGTATAGACAAGTAACCCTTACTATTATGTCCTAGCTTTTGAACAACACATTTTTATAAGAAACTAAGTTGAGCATGGAATACTAATAGAACAGAAAACAACTGGAAAATGGGCAGCATTGGGTTCTCTAAACAGTATAGAGAATGTTGGATTATAGAGATGCTTTGCTGCACTGTTAATTCTCATACTGTAAATGTGAGGGTGGTCAATAAAATAAAACCAGTGAAACAGAGTCACTGTATGATTATCTGGTTAGCTGAGGGATCACTGGAGAGCCACACCTTTCCACAGCTACCACTACAAGTTACCACATTGAGAATAACATACTGCCACTGTAGAAATCTGACAGCTTGTGTGTGCTGAGGAGAGGGTGGGTTGCCATTTTTAAAAACTTTAAACAAGACCTCAACCTAAAGCTGAACCCTGGAAAATTCCCCTTTCCCTCCTGGCCTTTACTGTGGTGTAGTAACATCATAACAGCACATCAAGAAATGTTTAGAGGCACCAGTGCAGAAGGGTGTGTGCAATGTGTTGGGTAATGACACAGTGTGTTAAAAACGCAAAAAAGTGTTTGATCAGCAAGTGCATCGCCAGCTGGAGACTCATTTGGTAAAAAGCAAATGAAAAGTCACACATAACACACAATCACACAGCGATGAGGAAGCATAAAATAATCATGTTCACGACCAATTTTAATTTACTAAAAAGACACATTTGGTCATCGACTTTTGTGGTTTAGACACACAAATCACATCACAAAATTCCCACTGCAAGAGATACAGCTGGAGTTTACTAGATGAAGAGCCATATGTATTATGTGTGACTACCGTTATGACTGTAGCACCATAAAACTGCCTCAGTAAGGAAAACACATAACAGCAGGTGCAGAGAAGATGTGGACAGGTGGAGGTGAGGTTAAGTTGCAGAACCTGTAAAGTGAATAAATGCTTCTCTAATTTTCCTTTTCAACACCTCAGGGACTTGCTCTGTGGCAGTGAGAGATATAGCAAACTAAGGAACATTGTTGATCTGCTCGCTGACTGCCAAGGTATTCAAGTGCCTTAATCTCAGCTGTAGTTCATATAAAATGACATAAAATAACAAAAATGTGGTCAGTGCAGCAGCAAAAGCAAATAGGATCTGGTGGACAGGGCCGGACTACGGCAACTTAAACAAAAAGGGTACCAGGGCCGCAACTTAAAATTACTTTAATTAACTGCCAATTAATGGTTTAATATGAAATGCCAAAAAGCAGTGAAATACACTCATCATAACTTCACACGGTCCAAATTGACATCTTTAAATTTGACACTTAAAAAACCCAAGATATCTAATTAACCATCATATTTGAAGAAAAGCAGCTAATTGTCACATTTGAGAAGCTGGAACCAGGTAATGTTGGGCATTTTTGTGTAAAACATGACTGAATATCAAAACTGCTGCTGCTTAACTTTCCTTTAATTGACAAATTGATTAACTGACTAATTGTTGGAGCTTTTACAAAACAGTTTACACATTTCTTGTAATTTGATCCATTTTCAATAAGTCATATTTTAAATTCCTTTTTAAATCAAATGTGACAAAACTATAATATTTGAGATGTAATAGTGATATACTGGCAGAATTATACTGTATAACACATAATAAAAGCAGTGCTGGAGAGCATGAAAAAAGCCAGAAATGATGACAAGAACCAAAAGTATGATCAATTGTTCTATTGCCATGGGAGCCTGAAGTGAATGAGATTATGTACTGTACACTCCTAGCAGTTTAGCACAATTACATTAACAATAAAAATGGCACAAATAAGAAAACATGAGGGAGCAGTCTTTCACAGCAGTTATCAGGGGCTGGGACTGGTTTCCAAGGCCCTGAGGATGGCAGTAACATTCAAATACCAACATGTGACCCCCCCCCTTCCTCTGACAACCTTTCCTCGGATGTGCCGCTCTGCAGGAGGAAGACAGCGTGACACCTGAGAGACCCCCCTGGACCGCTCAAACACATGGTTTGGTCCCAGCCGGCTTCTTCTCACTTTCCTGCCATCATCTGCTCTCTTGTTCCCTTGTGGTGGTCTGAACAGCCTCAAATAACTCAGCAGTGACGAGATAGCAGTGTAGTGCTGCATATCTTTATCTTCAATAATAGCTTTGTATGGTAGAGACTGGGTTTTGGGAGTGACACAGTCTGGTCTTAATGCTGTTTTTTGATGTGCTTGATATTCATCATTTGAAACAATGTGACATTTAGTGCATTGTGGCCTTAACAGTCAGTATCAACGTACTTTTATTTAAATTTTTTCTTATATCTAAAAATCTCATTGTAAGAGTTTTTTTTATGCAACAATATTAGAAAGCGTATGACATAAACTGCACAGCAACATCATTGTCGTTCCTAAGGGAGAAGCTTTTCAAACTCGCTTGACAGATGGATTTCACCAACAACTCCCACGATTACAACCACCCTCCCTCTGTCCAATATCCATCAATCCCCACTGCACAACTGTTGTTGAATTAACCAGCAGCAATATCATATCAAAGTCAAAACATTTTACTCATGACAATGATTCTAGCACAGAGACATTTTGTAAAATTCTAGACTGGCAGGGCAAAAGTAAGATTCTATGAGTCTAGATGCAGATGCTGGCGGCTGGAAAATGGTTACACAATCAATATCCTCCATCTAGGCACAAACAGGAACCTCAAAATCAAACAGGAAACACATTTGTCATTAACACAAGCAAATGTGAATGTGAAATTCCTCAAATATGTTGAAACATGGCACAGAATCTTAACTCAACAATTCACCGTCCAGTTTGACAGCCCAGACACAGACACAAACATTCATCCTTAACCTCATGCACGTCATCCTATTCCTTATATGTCAAGATTAAGGAAAGTTAAATGAAAAATAACAATCGATTTTATTACTGAATCAGCAATCTAAAAAGTTCCCTGCCTCAACAGTCGAGGAGAACCGCCAATTCTGGATGGAAAACCATGAGGGATAACTACAGACATCATGTTTCCTACATCTCTAAATAAGTTAAACAGACTCTCTAATCACATAACAGACACTTCTCTCCACTTCAGAGACCCGACAGACCACCAGAGTCTCGTTGGGATAGGGAAGGGAGGGAAGGAGGGAGGTGGCTGCATCTCTGTGATGGATCTTCTTACAAAAACAGGCCCTATTTCTGGAGCAGTTTGGGCCAGAGGGATGGAGGGCCTCCAGCTTGACGCTTACGGTTTCAGTTCTCATCAAGCAGTCAGAAATAAAGTGGGCGTCTCGCCTCTTCCTTCTTTACATTCTGAGCATTGCTCAATCAAAACATCATGGGATGTGGAGCAAAAAAAAAAAAAGCGAGAGGATGGTGATTGAGCCGAGATAATTTCTTTTAGTTCCTTTAGTTGTTAGCTGAAGCACTGAACTAGATCTTCACAGAGCAGCTCAACTAGTTCCAATGGAAAAAAGACTTTTCACCACTTCTGTCAGTGTGTTAAATGCTTGTGTGTGTGATCTAGTTACTGAGGGTGGCGGACTCTCTCGAGGTCACATGACAAAGAGGAGACAAGGCACAATAGGGCACATGATAGCTCTGCTTCTACAGACTAAAAAAAATCTAGAGGCTCATTTTGCTCAAACGCTTCATACATTCAGCAAAGAACAAAACAAAACGGTGATTGAGTAGAGAGATGACAGAGACGAGCGGCAAAGAAAACAGAGTGACTATGTGTTTGTGATGAAAGGATCGCAGGCGATACAGCGTAATCTGAGAAAGGTCAGTCATTGCTGAAAATCACAATCAGTGACATTAAAATAATGTGATGAATCAAACTGATATACAGAGGAGAAACGTCCATAACAGGAAGAACTGAAGGTCAAATTACAGAACAAGAAAACAGTGATAAACTACAACAACAAGGAATGTTGCTAATTGGCCCTTGACAATGACAAGCAGTGACTAAAAAGGGTTAGATGATACGATGGAAGATGATACAGAAATTCATCCATGTCCTTGTTTTGTTAGGTTGACATCAATAGACATTTTCACGGCGGCCATTTTGACTTGTCAAAACAGGTGTAATTAATAACGTTAACAATGGCTCCATTCCATTAAGGGTTCCCATATCAGTGAGTGAGCATACACAATACCAGAGCCCTGCAACGGCTCACCTAAAAAATAACCATATTATTAAGTAGACCTGCGCTTTTTATACTTTGTCAAAATATCTGCTGTGAAAAGGGTCTGTAACTAGAGATGTTCCGATACCATTTTTTCCCTCCCGATACTGATTCCGATACTTGTGCTGTAGGTATTGGCCGATACCAAGTACCAATCCGATACCAGTATGT